AGAATACTCATGACTGGAAAACATATTCTGAAGATCCTCGTCATCTTGAACCTCAACCTTATAAAATATTATTTGGTTGTTACCAAAAAAAACTGGGTTCTGATAAAATATTTGTGTCACGGGGCCTCGTCCAAGTTTGGCCTCCAATCGTTTTTTGAAGTACAAGAAATTGGCTTTCCTGTTTAAACAAAATCAGATGTTCTCTGTGTCTCTAAACAAAAACCCAAAGGTGGGACAAATGTATGTCTCACCGTTGAAATGTGCACTGATCACATATTGGGGTGCAGAGGCCATTGTGTATGACTGTTTGAAGGTTGGAAGGTTGGAAGGTTTGAAGTTTATGAGTTATTTGCTGGAATTTTTGAATGTTCTAGTGTTTGAGAGATTAAGTGTATCAGTGTTATGATAAATGTAAGACTAAATAGATCATACTGAATTTGAATTAACCAAGGTTGTCCAATAGTGTTACATGCATTCAGAGATTCCTTCTCCAAGGCTGCCACCTAGCATGCGCCTACACTGCACCTACATTGTAACCTCTAAGGCGCCTCCCATTATGTTCAATAGTGTTACATGCATTTAGATATGCCTTCTCCAAGGCTGCCACCTATCCTGTGCCTACACTACACCTACACTGTAACCTCTAAGGTGCCTCCCATCACGTCCGATAGTGTTACATGCATTCAGAGATGCCTTCTCCAAGGCTGTCACCTAGCCTGCGCCTACACTGCAACCCATGCCACCTCTAATTCGCCAACGGGGATGACGACACCTTTCATTTTTATACTCTTTCACCAAGTCCAATGGCGTCTCCCTTCATGTCCAATCGTGTTACATGCATGCCAGAGATGCCTTCTCCAAGGCTATCACCTAGCCTGCGCCTACACTGCACCTACAATGCAACCTCTAAGGCGCCTCCCATCATGTCCAATAATGTTACATGCATTCAGAGATGCCTTCTCCAAGGCTGTCACCTAGCCTGCGCCTACACTACAACCCATGCCACCTTTAATTCGCCCACAGGGATGGCGACACCTTTCATTTTTGTACTCTTTCGCCAAGTCCAATGGCGCCTCCCTTCATGTTCAATCGTGTTACATGCATGCCAGAGATGCCTTCTCCAAGGCTTCCACGTAGCCTGCACCTACACTGCAAGAGTGACACTTATCATGAATGCATGCACCCACCTACCACCTCACTTAGGATACCAAAAGATTCAGAATCCAGTCACACAACTACCTTGCTCCCGACCCATTGATCGTACCATATTTGGAATACGCAGGTTTCAGAAACGTTATAAAGATCTACAACTGCACAATTGATTCAAAGTTCATACTTGCAATGTTGGAAAGGTGGTGACCAGAGACCCATACATTTCACCTACCAATAGGTGAATGTACCGTCACACTAGAGGATGTATACATGTTATTGGGTCTCTCTGTCGACTGTAAGGCAGTTAACGGGTCGGTTCAACAACCAAATTCTCTGTGTGAAGAATTGTTGGGCAGGGATATGGTTGAAGGTGGTGGTGCGAGAGGTCAGGCTATATTACTAACTAGGCTAAAAAATTATTATACGACTCTGAAATTGAACGAAAATTCCTCCGAGCTAGCCAAGGTAATAAAAGCTAGAACTTATATAATGATACTATTTGGAACCTTTTTATTTCCCGAAAGTACGGGAAATAGTGTAAATTTTATGTATTTAAATTTACTTAGGGACTTCGAAAAAACTAGAAAGTATAGTTGGGGTTCTACTGTTTTAGCCCACCTATACAGTTCCTTGTGTAAAAATGCAATCAAGGAAAAATGTACATTTTATGGCTGCGTTTTTTTACTTCAAGCCTGGGGTTGGTGGAGGATGGAGTCCCTAAACCCCGTCAACAACAACACATTCGTTTTCCCATACGCAACAAAGTAAGTCATCAAGATATATCATTTATTATTATTCATCTCTTCACCAAATATATGATAAAAATAAAATATTTTTCATTTCCTTTAGGTATTGCGTGAGGGGTATGGATTACGGCAAGAATCCAAGATTCAATGTCGCACTATACTGCAATCTATTGGATCACCTTGGCCTGGATGATGTACGTCGTACCTTTCAACTTTTCTACTTTTAAATTATTTATATATTACATTTTCATTAACCTGATTTAATTTTATATGCATTTTGTCTGGAGACCATATTTGGGTTTGGGCCATGAACCAAACCCCGAGGATGCAGCAATTTGGAGCGCAAAGACTGCAATCATACGGTTCAATATTATGGAGATGCACCACAGCGACTGTGTGAAGATGCAGTTTGGAATGTATCAAGAGATACCCAGTGATCCAACTTGTTTGTCCCCGTGGCATCTCAAAAGGGTCGACGCCTAATGGGGTCTTACGAACTGGAAAGACTTTGCTCCAGAATGGTGTAAGATGTGGCAGAGGCGTCACCGATATGTCTTGCAATTCCCAATTTTCCTCAACCATGGTAATATGCGACACACGGGTCAGTATTTATCTTGGTACATATCGGTTAGTACCCCTGAAATACACGTGTCTCATCCAAGGTATTTGGTTGACCCACGAACATAATGGGCACAACCCTCATTTCCCCAACAACAAACCCATCACACATCAACCTCCCATCAACCCCCCAAACGAAACAGAACCACAAACACCCAACCAGTCACCACCACAATACAATTACACCCATATGCCCCATAACCAACCACAATCACCACCTCAGTATCAATACCCCCATATGCCTCACACCCAACTGCAATTTCAATCACAATACCAACACACCCGCATACCCCACACACAATTTCAGTCTTCTGCATATCCCAATATGGGCCCCTAAACATCCAACCTTAGCCTTGATCTGGGATTTTCCGAAGATTATGAACCAACCAACCCAACTTACCATCAACCACAATATCACCAAACCACCCAACATCCTTAATATCAAACACCACAAGATCCATTCCTTTCTACCCCCCGTACTCAGACGACTAGTGCTACAGACCAACCATGGAACCCCACCCACCGCCAACACGACCAAACTTTGAGGGTATGGGTAACCGACTGTACCAAAGCGGATCTTCTAGATATGGAGATCTGACTAATTTCATGGATCCGGAACGCATTGACTTCGCTGGGCCATCGACCCTGCCACAACAGGAAACGCGACGAAACCCAGCACGGAAAAGGCGAGGACGGGGATGCGGAATCGGGGGTCATTACCGGGTTCCGGAGGACCACTGATTAATCTGTTTTTTTATGTAATAGTTATGTGTGTAATCATATTTTGTAAATAAAAAGTCAATTTTGTTGATCCTATATCAAATACGTAACACACCGCATTGGAAAAAAACGCGAAAATTTCCCTAACAAATGCACTAAGGCGTCATCTCACTTGGCTTAGGGCAAACCCTAAGCACCTAGGCGCCAAGTGAGATGGCGCCTCCCCTTAAAAAGTAGGTGGAGGCGCCAAGTGAGATGGTTCCTCCCTTGAGGAGTCTTCTGAAACATGGTTATTTGCGTAATTTTTTCTGAAACATGATTATTTGTGAAAAAAAATTTTAATACTTGATTATTCCAAAAAAAAATTCTAAACATGTAGCCTAAAATAAAAAATAAAAAAGAACATGTTTTGAACTCTCATAATGATAAGAAAAATTAAAATGATATAAATTTATAGAATATATAGATAACACAAATTTAACATCATAAAAGAAATGTTTATATTGACAAACTTGCATTAATCAAGTTAATAGGATACAGGTGGTGCTAAATAAACTCCTGGATATTAGTGTGTTTTAATAGATTAATAACTTGAATTCATTGCTCCAAAATAAATAGATGAGTTATTATTAACTTTTTGATATTCTTGAACTGTTTTAATTAAATTAATATTAATGTTTTTTATTAAAATAAAGAACAAAAGATGTCCTATAAGTTTCATTTACTCTCTTATTAAATAAAATTCACATGAATTTGATCCAATAAATCAATTAGTGTTACCAATAGACTGTTGGGAAAGAAGTAATAGATCAAGTATTGTTAGAAATCCTCTTAAATATAGTAAGATTTCTTTTTATATTTTAGCAAATATATACATAATAAGATATAAATAAAAAAATCAAATCTCTTTCATTAAAAAAAAAATCAGATATAAATTGATTTTTTTCTTTCTCAAAACAAATAATTTTATCATAAAAAATAAAAGATAAATTTAAATACAACCCAACTTAAAACCAAAGACACACTACTTCCATTCCATCTATAAACTAGTTAAAAAGTAGAAATGAAAATACAATGAAGACTATGGTAGTAAGTAGCAATCTGACTCTGACATATTCAAGATACATTTCCTCTTTTATATGATACATAATGCACAAGCATGTCTCTTTAATATCCCCATTCCATAGTTTAATCCATTATTAATTTAAAATATAAAAAAAAAACCATACCATATAAATATATATACAAAATAAAAAATATTTAAATTCATATCTTCAATGTGAAAAAGCTTCATTGATGAATTTTATGGACTCCCATTATTTTCTTCAACCTAATGTGTCTAAACACTTTTTATTAAGTAGTCTAACAAATATAATTTAATCCCTTAAAATTTATTAAACATGCATATTTGAAATCTAACCAAAAAAAAAATGAAAAGTAAATTTATGAGATGCAGGGAATTGAGAAACTTAAGAAGATGGTGAGTGTCTCCATCCCATACCTGAAAAATGGTAAAAAAAAACTAAACCATCAATGATAATTCCAAAACTAAATATGTGAACTCCACCAACTTCTCCCTCATTATATTTTCATATATATTCTCAACTTTCCTCTCTCTCTCTCTCACATCATGCTAGCCCATCCAGCTAGCTAGCCTCTTCTCTCTCTAACTTTTTGTAACTCAAAACCGTGTTTGAACCCTCAAACTCCAATTATAACCCATCTTCTAGATCTCACTCTTCTCAAAATCAAAACAAACACAAAATGAACTTCAAATCCCCAAAATCAAAACCAAAACTTTTTTTCTTCTTTCTCACCCTCTCCCTCTTGTATCTCCAATCTCAATCACTATCTTCCACCAACACCAAAAACAATGCCTCAAAACCAAGAAAAACAATCATCAAAGATCAATTCAAAGAAGCCCCGCAATTCTACAACTCACCAAATTGCGCCACCAACGCAGAACCAGACACAGACACCGAACATGACTCTGACACATATATCTGCTCAGAGAAAGCCGTCCATGTCGCAATGACATTAGACACAACATACATCCGAGGCTCCATGGCTGCAATCCTCTCTGTCCTCCAACACTCATCATGTCCACAAGACATCATCTTCCACTTCGTCTGTTCCTCAAACTCTTCACTCCTCCACTCCACAATCTCAAACTCCTTCCCTTACCTCAAATTCCAAGTCTACAATTTCGAGGATTCCATCGTTTCAGGACTAATCTCAACCTCAATCCGCTCCGCCCTCGATTGTCCCTTGAACTACGCAAGAAGCTATTTGGCGAATCTAATTCCACTATGTGTCAGAAAAATCGTCTACTTAGATTCAGACCTAATACTAGTCGATGATATCGCGAAACTCGCATCAACACCATTATCCGAAAAAAATTCAGTCCTCGCAGCCCCAGAATACTGCAACGCAAATTTCACATTCTATTTCACCCCGACATTCTGGTCCAACCCATCACTGTCCCTAACATTCGCGAACAGAAAGCCATGTTACTTTAACACAGGAGTAATGGTGATCGATCTAGAAAAATGGCGCGACGGAGATTACACGACGAAGATCGAAGAATGGATGGAACTACAAAAGAGAATGAGAATCTACGAGCTTGGCTCATTGCCACCTTTTTTACTTGTTTTCGCAGGCGAAATCGTTGCGGTGGATCATAAATGGAATCAACACGGTCTCGGAGGTGATAATTTTCGAGGGCTTTGTAGAGATCTTCATCCTGGCCCAGTGAGTTTGCTGCATTGGAGTGGAAAAGGGAAGCCATGGGTGAGACTGGATGCTAATAGGCCTTGTCCTTTGGATGCTCTTTGGGCACCTTATGATCTTTTGCAAACACCATTTTCTCTTGATTCTTGATTAGGAACAAACTATGTAATATTCTTGAGGAACAAGAAAATAATGTCTTTGTATATACATTAAGAGAGTTGAATATTTTTAATATAATCAAATTCAACTTTTCATTCTTCTTTAAAAAAACTCATACACATCATGAGAAATAAGATTATTTTTTTTATATTAATAAATAAATAATTTTAAAAATATACACGAGTTAAAATTTTTTTACTTTCTTTTGTAATTTAGTAACATGGGCTGAGTTGTGTTTTGTTCCTTAGGCATGTTGTAAGGAATTTGAGGATTTTTATATAATAATTGATTTTGTTTTTTTGCATTAAACTTATTCTTGATACATTGTAAATTATTTATTTAAAGTGAATAGAGAATAAAGTGAAAAAAATTAATGGTTGATATTTTAATACATTTATAGAAAAATATGCTTATATGTTTATGGTTGAACATCAAAATCAATTATTTATTCCTAAACAATTAGTATTGCTTAGTTTACAATTTAAAGTGATTTGTCTATTTTAAAAGAATGAGATTTAAAGTGAATACTATCATTGTTAATTTGGATGCATCAGTTTTTAGGTTACACCAACTTCTTCACTGAGTACTATTTTTTTAAGTAAAATATATTGCTGTTTTATTTATGAATATTGAAAAACATTTATAAATTGATTTTTTTTCTGTTTAAAACTAAACAATATTGTGTTAGCTGTCTATATTTGTTTTATTTTTCTTTTGAATTTTTTTAAGATTGAGATATACAAATTAATTACTTTTAGAAAACTTGGAAATTATTTTTTTCTGTTTAAAAGTAAACAATAATGTGTTAGCTTTCTATATTTGTTTTATTTTTATATTGAAGAGTTTGTCTGCATGAAAATAAGGTAAAGTTGGAAAGGTATTGTGACAGCTGATTAATACTTTTTTTTATGAATAAACATTGTCATGTGCATGAATGAAATGAATAACTAGCGAGAAACATTTGCGTTTATATGAGGTATTAGTATAGTATACATATTTATTTTTAAAATATAATTTAAAAAATAATTTTTTTTAAAAGAGATGATGAATTGATGACTATAATTATTTTAATATATAAAAATATTTAAATTAATAATTTAGAGATATTTTATATAAATATTATATTTATTTTGAAATTATTGTAAAAAATATTTACAACAATAGTAAAATTACTCTATTACTATTCAATATTTTGATTAGTATTTTTATATTTCCGTTATCATTTAATATTTTTATCAGTAATTTTATGTTTATGTTATTATTTAATATTTTGAACAGTACTATCATATTTCTGTTAATATTCAAAAAAATTTATCAATATTTTCTTATTCCTGTTAATATTCAATATTTTAATTAATAAATTAATATTTATGATAAAATTAAATATTTTGATCAATAATTTTTTCGTTAAAATTCAATATCTTGAATAATAATTTCTTATTCCCGTTATTATTTAATATTTTGATCGATAATATCATATTTTCGTTAATATTTAATATTTTTATCAGTAATTTTATATTCATATTAATATTAAAGATTTTTATCTGTAATTTTATTTTTCCCATTTCTTATTATTTTGTACGATATAATTGTACTCAAATATATATTAAAAATAATATGTATGAATATTTTCTTATATAAATCTAACAGGTTGTTTTACGTGACACTTTTAAAAACAAATCTTGTAGTCAAAACTAAAACTATACTATCTATATTATGAAAGTATAAAAATGACTGCAAAAGAACACATCAAATTCAACTTTCAACTTATAAATGAAAAAAATAAATATATAAATTATGCTGGTTATAAATTAATACAGAGAACATATTATTTCATACAGTTTTAATTTATAATGTGTTCATTGACTTAAATGTTAAAATATTTATAAGTACCACATTTTCGTCTCATCAACCAACTTAGAAGCCTAATCACTGTTTTTTAGTCCCTGCTTAGTTTTAATCTATCCTAACAATTTTTTAATAACTATTGTTAAAATGATATGCTTAGAAAATTATAAACAATAACTTAATTAAAATTAAAACTTTTTAACTTGTAATGAATTTTAGAAAGCTCTTATTTTATAAGAATTAAAACTATATTTTACTTTAATATTAAATAGATAATAGAATTGAAAAATCATTAATTAATTCTATACTGAAAATAAATAATAAGTTATTGCAATCGATCGCATGAACAGATTTGCAACCAAACCACAAAGTATATATCAAAATAAATCGCAAGAAAAGAACATATTACATGATCACTTGATTCGTAAAACAAACGCAATATGTTTATCACATGCTTGTTAAGAATATTTTATTATTTATATCATGAATTTTAATTGTATATAAATTATTTCCATGACATCAAGCTCTTATTCAATTACAATAACACATCCATGTTAGGATAAAGTAAATCAATAATAATTACATCAACTCTTTCATCTTCTTCTATCTTGAAAGTCTCGTACTTTTAGACGAATGAAAGAATTTTGGTCTCTTTGACTTGTGTATTATCTTTATATGTCATTTTTAGATATTCAAATATGTTTTGAGTCGTATTTCTGTTTGTGATCTTCTCATACTCAGTGTATGAGATGACCCTCAAAAGGACTGTTCTGGTCTTGTGATGATTTCTGAACTCTTTCTTTCGTTGATTTGTCATCTTCTTTCTATCGATCTTCTGACCGCTTGCATTGACTGGATGAATGTAGCCATCAGTTACCATGTCTCAGAGATCTGCGTCACAAGCTAGAAAGAAACTATTCTGCCTTTCTAATAATCGAAGTTTTCACCATCAAAGATTGGAGGTCTGCCACTTATTCTGTCTTTCTCATCATGGTTGTCGTTGTTGTTGTTTTGAACTGATTCCACCATAGTGTTCTTCTTTCTAGGATCTTTTTCTGACACAATTAAGTGCTAGCACCCAGAACCAGGCGCTCTGATGTCAATTGAAGGATAGAAAAACACAAGAAATATGGTTTGAATTGGGGTTTTCAAAAATTAAAACAATATAACACGTTGGTTATCCTGGTTCTCTTGAACTCAAAGCTACTCCAGTCCACCCGTCAATGTGATTTCGTCTCTCTCAATCGAGGTCTTAATCCACTAATAAAAAATGATTACAAAATCACGAAGACAACTGTCAACGTCTTCTTGAGATCAAACCACAACTCAGTTTCTCAAGGAAATATAATCTTAAACAAATATACAATATGTTTATAATTTCTTATAATTGTTGGAATAATATAGCAAGTGTGAGTAAGTGGGGAAATAGTCCCACATTGGATAGGAATATGGAGACTTAAGCATATATAAGTGGGAGAACCCACTCACCTATCAACTTAAGGTTTTAGGTCGACAAGTGGCGTGTCTCTCACAAAGGTGCTTATTCCTACACTATGCATCAATACTCCTAATAATCTTCCCCCAATATGGTATCATGAGCATTTGGTTTGAGAAAGGGACCGGAAGGAACTTGTATCGAAATTCGCCTAAGAAGTGATGCGGTACAAGTGGAGGAGCATTGTGGAGTCACACTTGAGGGGGAGTGTTGGAATAATATAGCAAGTGTGAGTAAGTGGAGAAATAGTCCCACATTGGATAGGAATATGGAGACTTAAGCATATATAAGTGGGAGAACCCACTCACCTATCACCTTAAGGTTTCAGGTGGATAAGTGGTATGTCTCTCACAAAGGTGCTTATTCCTGGGGGAGCATTGTGGACTCACATTTGAGGGGGAGTGTTGGAATAATATAGCAAGTGTGAGTAAGTGGAAAAATAGTCCCACATTGAATAGGAATATGGATACTTAAGCATATATAAGTGGGAGAACTCACTCATCTACCACCTTAAGATTTTAGATGGATAAGTGGTGTGTCTCTCACAAAGGTGGCTATTCCTACACTATGCATCAATGCTCCTAATAATCTCTTCCCAACACTAACAAGATATATCACAATTAATATGTTTACATAAATTATAGCAATAAAAATAACTTAAGAGATAAAAGATATGAGAGTAATTGGAGCGCTCTTATTCGTATGCGTGAGTGTGTTATATTTAATCCATCTTCATAGTCTCCTTGATATAGAAAAGATTCAGATTTGTTGGAGACATATAAACTTATTTTTGGAAGGTTGATGATTTGAGGTTTTGATATTATTTCCAGAAATAGAGATTTTGTTCCCAGTCATAATGTTCCAGCCGTTACTTTCTTGATTCTGTATTGATTGTCATGAATGTGATGTTGGATCAGCAAATCTTCAAAACTTTGAGTGCTTGGTCTCAGAACTTTAATATGGTGTATTCGTTGAGACTTCTTTGTTCTTTCAGAACTTTCCCATTAGAGTATAACAGACAGTTTTGTGCTTCAGAAGTTTGTCTTATGCATCAGAACTTCTTTTACTAGCGTGCTTCTGATCTTCTTATAAGCATGTTCTCTTTAGAACTTCATATTTGTTCATTCACGTTATTATCTTCTTAGCTTTCATCATAACTTCTCTATACATTCAATCAAACTATTATAGTGCATAATTGCTCTTCATAATAATTATATATATTTGTTATTATCAAAATTATGAATTAGATGTAGAATCAAACTATGTTCTAACAATATGGGACATCTAAAGGGAATCATAGACTTACAACCTATGGAGCAGTTTTTCGCGATTTGTTGGGCACCTATTTTGGTGCATACTTAGAAAATATGGGTATTACGATCTCTTTTAAAGTTGAACTTACATATATCATGTTGGCTATATAACATGCTTGTAAGAAAGGATGAAATCAACTTTGGCTTGAAAATGACTCTCTACTTGTCATATGAGCATCATTAGTATTACCATTGCCCCTTAGAAGCTTTAATCCAAATGAATTTTTTTTTCTTCATACTATTAAATCATTTCGTTTCAAGGTGTCTCACGTTTAATATGAATTTGATAGTTGTGTGATCGTATACAAGTTTTTACGTTCAAGGTTAGATTTGTC